GTTGGTAAAAAAAAAAAAAAAAAAGAAAAAAAAAAAAAAAAAAAAAAAAAAAATATATATATATATATATATATATATATATATATTTTTTTTTTTTTTTCATTTGATGACCTTTTTTTTTTTAAGGTTAATGAAAATGATTTACCAGCCTGGCAGAGAGAATGCAGATAGATATGTCTGCATTCTTACTTTTATACATGTGTCTGTTTCCTTTCCTTTGCAAGTTCATGTACACAATACATGTACACACGTTAAGCAGGAGCTCTTGATAAATCAGATGAAGTGGGTGAAAACCACAGAGAGCAAGCAGGTTTCCGCTTAAGTGTATTTCTATGCATCGAGTTTTATTTTCTGTTTCTGAAAGGGGCTGAGTATTTCCCCTTTGTTATGTTCTTTCCTATACATGCGTGTGTACAAACAGGATGTGACTAACTGTGAAGTGTATAAAGGTTTATGTACAACTTCATTTCGGGGCTCTACTTTTCTGACTCCCAGAGTCAGAACCTTTAAATAAAACATTTAAAGACAAAGATCGATCTTTATCATTTCTTAGCAGTTTTCTCTATCCTTTTATTGAAGGATTTCCGTGTCAGCCTTCATCCATTCAGATGGGTTTTATACATCTCAGGTACGGATACTTTTTTGCTTGTTTCTTCAAATGTGTTGCATTAAATACAAGAATAATGAAAAGTTGTTTTTTTAAGGAGAGATATTAGAAAATATTGTGTTAAAACTGATGGATCAAAAATATGACAAGAAGTTGTAACCCATTAGAAAAGTCTTGATACTAAGATTACCAATGTAAATTCAAAGTAGAGGAGAAATTTTAACACTAATTACACAGTATAAGTCTTGATAATGTTGTTTAAAATACCTGCTCTTACTAATGTTTCCTAACATATGTTTATCATAGTATGAAGATATAAGTATATTATTCTCTGATTCCTTAGCTATCAGCTACAGCCAGCCACCATCACATTTTAAACAAAATGTACAACCCTGAGCCAATGTTCAAAGACAAGTAAATAGAACTGTACATTTTAAAATTTAGATTTGCATCCACTGAAAAAGAAAGAGAAACTGTCTCTGACAGTTCCTCATTTTTGACAAACCGATCAAAGAAAAAGTGAAGAGTTTTTCCAGCTCAGAAGTGTTAGTAAACTGAGGTGCTACAGTCAAAGGACTTTTTTAAAGTAAGTCATATCTTTTGCTTGGATTATTATAACTATGTATGCTGGTCTTAACAGAATCTTAGTTCATATATGGGAAGATCATCTACAGGAAGAAAATGGAGGACTAGCTACAGCAGAACCACATCAGAGTTTTGGAGGAGCTTGAAAACAGCTTCAGGTCACAAACCAAAGTCCCAGGCTCCAGTCATTTCTGCTCGATTGGGAATTGGAACAGGAAAATCACAGGATATTTATATTATATATATATATATATATATATATATATATATATATATATATATATATATATATATATATATATATATATGAGTGATTGACTCACAAAGAAATCTTCAACATGCTGTTAAATAAAAAGTTTCTTTTTGTCTTGATGGCAATAATAATTTGGACACTGGCCCTGCCATCATCCGGATGCCACATCGGGGCTCTGGCACCACAGCAGAAGGTGAGTGGTGCACTATTTTGGGGAATGTTTTTATAAGTGCAAATGCAACGGTAAATATTCATAATCAGTAACATTTCCTTTGTTTTCTGTTTAGAGCGGCTCGTTCCTACTGGATTTAGCTGTGAACTCTGTTGACGACATGTACATTGGCTGTGAAGATGAGATGGAAGAAGAAGTGGCGAAGTGGTTAGAGAAGGAGAAAAAAGGGAATTTTGGAAAGGCTTGGAATAAATCGGAGCAGTACTACAATAACACATGGGCGACCACCACCTCAACGCTGAAGAAAGAACAAATCATGGCTGTTCATGCTTACACCTTGGGAATGCCTCCAATATACGCTGAGTTCAATAAGGCGGTCCGAACACAAAAATCTGAGTACATGACCAAATTTCAGTATCACGCCTTTCATTTCTACCTCACCATGGCCCTACGCTCCCTCAAGCCCAAGGCAGCAGAGTGTGTCACCACCTACCGGAGAACCAACTGCAGATTTGAAACAGGTATCAACAGAGAGGTTCGCTTCGGTGGCTTTACCTCCAGCTCATTGGGTTCTTATTCTTCTCCTGGGTTATTCGGTAACCAATCATGCTTTGAGATTATCACCTGCTTTGGAGCAGACATCTCAGAGTTCTCTAAGTTTAAATCAGAAAAAGAGGTCCTGATCCCTCCGTATGAGGTTTTTAAGGTAACAGACATACAGAAAAGATCCCAAAAGAATTCCCTTCCATGCGAGGTTGTCTACAATCTGGAGAGCACAAACAAAATCCTTTTGAATTTAAACTGTGCTCTCACTGACGAGTCAGATTTGTGATGAAATGTCTAAAAAAAATACAACCTGCATTGTGCAAAGTCAGACGTAATTCATGTAAACTCTGCCCAATATTTATTTTATACATCTAAATATAATCATAAGAAACATACAAGAGTGAATGTTCACATTTTCAGTCTCTAATATATGAAATTTTAAATTAGGAAACAAGTTCAAGTGTAAAACTAATTTCATAAAAGGGACATAAAATATTTGAAGAGCACATTAGTTTATGTTACAATCACAAACTTTGTGTTTACTTTCCTTTTCTAATTCATCAAAGTAATCCTGAACCCTGCTGCTGTGCTTTTTCTTTGTCACAACCCATAATGGCAGACTGAGATTTACTTTTTTATGGAAGTCCAAACATGCAAAAAAATAAAGAAGGAAGTCATATAATGATTACTTAAATTAATTGCAACATGTATTAACGGATAATCTTGATTGACCAATTTCACAATTAATTGTAAAAGAAATTCAATTTTACTGATATACTAATTATTGATGACTTCATTTGTACAATTCTGCTTATATTTTATCTATGATACACATAAATAATGTTTTCAATGATTTATGTATTTATTGTATTTTGGTATTTTGAAATAATGTATTGCTGAAAGCATGTCATTCCTTTGCATTGTCACTTAATGCTTGCTCAAGATACTAACCTGACTACTCGAAGCAAATAGTTGTTCCTGTTTGATAGAAAAAATATTAACAACTGCCATAAAATGATAATCTGTATTTGATTATTTTAAACTGCAATTTCATTTGAACTGGACTGAATGTGTAAATGAGTCTGAATCTGACTGAATTGTATTGGACAAGTAGGATGTGATAATGAATACATTTTAACTGTTTTATATTTGTTGTGAAATGGTTCTATATACATTTACTGAACAGAATCAACAATCTTTAAAGGACAAAAAAAAGTTTCATAGCTGTAATTAATTGCTCTGTACTTCTGTTATATTTCCTGTTTGACTATTCTGTTTTAATAAATCTCAAATGCATGTGCTTTGCTGGATGCGTTTGTTTTTATAATTTAATCATGTTCTGGTTTTGAATATGTAAATACTTCTGGTTATATCCGTTTGCTGAATGCAAATTTATTTAAAATGTCTTGTTTGAGATCATGCTATGATGACTAGTCATTATTTTAAGTTTCGTCTGAAATGCCAAAAAAGATGTTAAATTAGTTGGAATAAACTTATTGAATTGCATTAAATAGTGAATAACTGAACATTTATAATATGAGATACCAAAAAAGAGAAGTCCAGGTTGCATTAAAATTTCATATATGTCAGAAATACATGGGCTTAAAGCAAACAAGAATCATCAAAGTTAGCTAACTTTTTAGAAACGGATCACTAATTTCACTACATTATGAAGGTTTGGATTGTGATTCTTCTATTAACAGAATACATTGTCTTGCATAATAACAGCTGAAATTTTAAAACTGTTCTAAGTGAAATAAATGGACAAACAAAATCAGTCATAAAGACACAAAGGTAAAATGCAGCCAACATTACTGCACTGATATCAAATACAAAATAACTAAAAAAATGGATTAAGTTAAGTATGAATTCAAAGATTAGGAAGATTTTGTACTGTAAATGATTTAATAAACTAAGCTTGTTAAAATATTATTAATTTACACATAGTCAAAAACTTAATTTATACAATCTAACTCGGTTACATCTTCATAATATTCTCAGCTATTTCCTATTTACTGCAGTCAAGGACCAGAGTCTTTAAAGGAGCACTAACGCTGATTGAGATGATTTGCAGCTGGTACCAAACATGCAGAAGGGCTTACCTCACAAAAGGGCAGTTTAAATGTGCAACTTAAGAAAAGTCTGAAAAAGTACATTTTATTGTTGTAAAAAAATAACCACAGGAACTGATTATGTTAAGTGAGGTGGTAACTGTTTAAGCACTTTTTAAAAAGGTGTAAAATATGAAAATTTTATGTAATTCAACCATTTTGAGAACCTTGAAGTGAAAACTGTTTTCCATTGTAACGACTCCTTTAATATGGCAAAGATGGCGGTTTGGTTAGCAGTGCTGCTAACGTTGGGAGCCTTGACTGAAACGGCAAAGGTAAGCAAAAGTGTCCTCTTGGTTTATGTTGTCAAAACACACATCTCAATGGGTTATCACATTCTGAAGGAAAAACCTCTTAATGAACATTTGTCACTATTAGCAGAGCTTGTTTTACCTGGACATGGCTCTGGACTCCGTGGACGACGCGTACGCTGGCTGCGAAGGCGACATGGAGCGTAAAGTGAGAACTGACTTTCTCCCGAGTGAGAAAAACCAAAACTCAAATTTCTCCTTGGCCTGGAACGAAGCAGAGAAGCACTACAACAAGAAATGGAGACCCAAACACGGGAAGCCCGCCTCCAGGACCCTGGCGAAGGAGGAGATCATGGCCGTTTATGTTTACACGACGGACAAACCCGAAGTCTACCCGGAGTTCAACGAGGCGGTTAGAAGTCAGAAGATGAAGTACAAAACCGCTTTCAGATACCACACTCTGCACTTCTTCCTCACGAGAGCCCTGAAGAGGCTCAGCGCTCGCAGAAGCGTCCTGGAAAGGTGCCTGACTGGCTATCGAAGGGTCGACGGCGACTTCAGCCAAGATGTCCTCAACGAGCAGATCCGCTTTGGCTCTTTTACCTCCAGCTCGCTGCTTGGCTATCAGGGTCCCTACAGGTTTGGTGACAAAACGTGCTTTGAGATTTCCACCTGTTTGGGAGCAGACGTGTCACTGTACTCCAAGTTTGGAGAGTCTGAAGCAGAAGTTTTGATCCCACCGTATGAGGTATTTAAAGTGACGCAGATTAAGAGTAGATCTGAACAGAAGAGCCTTGCATGCGACGTGGTGTTTAAACTTAAGAGCACGCAGAAAGCTTTGTCCAACCTGAACTGTGCTGCTCTTTGACTGGAGCCACGTTGTGATTCAAAAACGGGTGTAAAAATATTTTTTAAAAGTTTGGGAAGTAAACTGTTGAAATACATTTTTCACAATTCAATGTCAAACTGCATTTGAAGGCAGTAAAATAAAAATTAAAAACGTTGTTTTCTGGGTCTACGTGAGTATTTCTCAAGTATTGAGTCATAAGGGTCAGATTTATTTATTTTTTTAACATGACCTTCAAATGGAAATCCTATTGAGAAACTGATATTTACCCGTACAAATCACTGGAACCAGCTTTCTATATATTAAGTTATTGCTTTAAGTCTCAAAACTATTTCCAGATTCAGTTTATTAACTCAATAAGTTGCTGCTCAATCTGTGTGATTCAGAAAAGAGCAAATGATTCACCAGGATGTGCATTTTTAGACCCAACACAGTCTAAAAATGTGTTGGGTAACAAACTATAAACATTGGTTACTTGTCAGCTTAATCTTTTTCAAAAAGGTATTTAACTTTAACATTTTAGTGCAAAATTTGCATCAACACTACTTGTTGCAAATACTTGTCAAAGGAGATGGAAACTGCATGACATTTTGTATTCAGTCTATAGGATCTGTCTACTTCCTGGCATTTTTCTCTGAGCTAGTTTTTTTTAATGAGATTTACATTGTATTTTATGAGAACTCTACACCAGACTGCATTCAAATGAAGAATACTGAATATCTTTTGAAGTTATAGTTGAGATATGTTTTAAAAATAAGGAAATCATCTTTTGGTGCATCAGATTATGAGATGGAGCTATTATTTAAACGACTGTCCAGTTCAAAGAAAGAACCACAGACTTCCTGGTCTGGTTCACCTCTTATCTCCATCAAACTTTTTTTTTTCTCTCAAAACTTTTTTTTATTCATAATTTTAAGACTTTCTTCTGGCAATGTTGTAATATTAGATTCTTCTTGTAAAACGCCTTTGTTTTAGTCTAACTCTAAAACTCGATTGTGCTTTTTAATAACCTGTTCAGGCGCAGAGCTATGGGGGGGGGGGCACCCATCCGGGGTACCGGGACTGGAGGTGCCAGAGAGGGAGGAATGGTTTTAAGTCTCCGATGTCTGATTATAGACGGAAAAAGTGCGCCCTCTCCTGTTGAGAAAGGTGTATTTAATGTTAAACCAAGTTTCCCCTCAATGGCATATATAGTAGTCAGTCCCAGTCACCGTTTCACTCACGGTTTAGCCGATGTGCTTTCTGGGTAAAAATCAAACGGTGAGCGCATTCCCCCTCCCACCCTCCCCTCAGCAGTTTCCAGCAGCGCAGGTGATACACGTCAGGGGCCCGGTCATTCTTTAGGGGCCCTGTCATTGGCCCCGCCCGACGCTGACTTGTTCCGCTAGTGAACCTGTTTTCACTGTCACAAATCTCTCCTTCTCTCCTTTGGAGGTAAATGTTTCAAAGCATCCATCAGTTTGTACT